CTGTTAATTAAAGTAAATTTGTTTTCCATAAAAAAAAAATCTACTAATAAAACGAATAGAAATTGTAGTACAATTACAAATGGGAAAGATTAGCAATTAGCTTACTACAAGAAATCAAGACTGAATAAGAGAAACTTGAATGATATTTTAAAAAAAGAAAGTTATTTCCTGGTCTCACTCGGAAAAAGGTTTCCGAAAATCGTAACAAGCCGAATAATTTCGCTTCCTACGACTAACTTTCTAAATGATTTATATCCATAAAGAAATTTTTAATAATTATTTCAGATGAAAAAAAATTAATAGTAAGTATGCCAAGAAATAACCGTTGCAACAGATAATGTTTTCGTTAGAAATAGGTTATTGATAATTGGATTGAAATATCAAGCCTGGCACTTTTTATTCATCACATTGCTAATTTTCGTGAGTAAAATTTAAATCTTAAAATTGAAGCAGATGGCCGAGTTATTGTCAGTGTCCACGATTGGAATGTGATTACAGTTTTCAGTGATGGCTGATGGCTTAAATTACAAAAACCATAAGTTGTAGTGAAACTTTAATTCACTTAAATATTATTTAAAAATCACACAAATGTAAAAAAAAAAATATAAAAATAGTCCTGTATCAGTCTCATATTTATTTATTCATTTTTTTTCTGTTGGGTTTACAGACCTCAACCAGTCTTCCTTATCATTAGCTGTCTTGGACTATTTTTGTCCAGTTATCAGCAAGTTTTTTTGTTTTGTTTTTTACTTTCTTTATTGAATATTAATACATTCTGCCACATTGAAGGGCATTAATATTAAGGCTACATGATTCATTCACACAATATGTACATACAATTAATAACAATAATAAAGAAAAAGAAATATAAAAAAAAAATAAAATAAGTAAATTGGTATGCCTGTGTACAAAAAAAAATAATGAAATGATAGATGAAAGCAAGATGAAATTAAAGTAAATAAATCACATTCACACCTATGTACAATAATCAGCAAGTAGAACTGTATGTTTATTGATTCGATCTATCCCACTGGTTTTGCCACCCACGTGGCTTCTTACCTAATATTCATTGTTGTGTATAAGTTTCTTTATAGATTGCTCCCAACAAGTTTTCTCGCCATTCTTAACCCCCTTGCCTTCATATCATGAGATATTGATTGATCACATTATGTAATTAGTTCTTTGTTGGTACTTCTCCATGCGTTAGTATTATGATCTCAGGACGCTTCGGTAATCATGTATATGTGAACTTTTTTTCAAAAAATGTCGAAATTAACGATTATAACTTTTTCCTCCCAACATATTTGTTTTTCGTATTCCTTTTTTTTTCATTATTATTTGTTCACTAATAAGAAAGTAAATAAGCTCTAACCCTAGTGCTGCGTTTAACCCCCTGCCTTTATGAAATGTCTACGCTCATGGCAGAATATGTTAAAATAAAACTTCTTCTCATTCTGTGCAACTGATCAGTGTCAGGTATACTAGAAAGCAGAATCAGAGATAAAAAAATAAAATAAATGAATGTTCTGCACGATATACGGGATGATGTCGCAAGACCTTAACCATATATGGAAGGATAGTTGTATAATTAATTAGTTATTCATCGATTTCGCTGGAAATTTAAAGCAAGCATAAAGTAATCCATTCTAATCCTCAATCGTTATTCACGGAGTAGGTGGATCCAGTGAGAGCTGAATAAAAAATAATAAAAAAGAGATGTCCATGTTTTAGCTACGGACGATAAGATGGATTTGTTAATGTTAAACCTAAAGACGATTTAAACATTTGAGTATTGTTACGATATCACGATAAGAATGAAATATTGAGTAACGCTATAATAAATCAATATGACTGGATACGGACGTAATGAAACAAGGGTTCGCGGTTCCGATCCTAGATCCTATCAGATAATAGAAAGGGGCTTTCTCCGATAGGAACCTGTTATTGGAGCATGTTCCTGTTCCCCTCTGTAATAAACGTTACTTTGTACAAGCTATAAAAAAATAAATATAAATAAGAAATAATAGAGGATTCGGAGCTAACTCTGCACAACTGCGTAAGATAACAGTATTCTTCTGGAGGAACTGGAATCCCTAATGTCAGTCGTTATAAATCAAGTGGCTCCAGTGAGATAAATCCTGATGAGCGATTGCTGCTGGAGCTGAAAAGAAAGTGGTCAGCAGAGGTAACGATACAAGCCTCAATTGGTTTTACCAGTCGAGTCCTTGAGTGACTTGCTAAAAAGTAAAATATGTCTTTTTTAGTTAACGAAAACATACCCTAATCTATCGAATCTCTGGCGTTGTTTGTCAGATAAGAAAAAAAATTCAGAAATCATAATTACGTCTTATTTATTATTATTTTTTTTTTTCAATTCTCTACTCAGTTATTTTTCCAAAGATGAAGGGACCCTATGATAACTTCAGAAATCTTTACGCATCAATCAAAGTAATATCATTCATTTTTATTATTAGTAATACTTTGTTGAATAATAATTCAAAATGGGGGTGAAGTGGCCGCCGGGGCTAACCTATGCACAAAACATAAAATGAAGATTACGAGTTGGAGTCTCAGAGCCAGGAACTTTTAACTTTGGCATTAATCTCCTGTTTCCTACCCTACCTGAAAAGACGAGGTAGGGGAGAAAAATATAATTCAAAATTTTAATAATGAAAAATATTAAACATTTTACGGAAATGAAATCAGTCTGCCAGAAATTGTATACAATATATTACTGATATAGTAGATGATTAACAATAACGGTATATAAAAAACGTGATATAATAACAATTACCTAATACATCTGAAATAAATAGGTAAATGTGCATCTAAAAAACGTTGTAATAGGAAATATAAATAAATAATCAAAGTATTAAAGAATGTGTGATAACTATTTAACAGATAAATAAAAATAGCGACAAAGAAAGTAAAAATAAATTCGATAAATTAGTTTAATAATAATAACAATGAGGCCACGCATGAAGAAAATAATTAGAAACTTATAACATTCATTTACACAGAGAGTATTAAGGAGAAAAAAAAAAAAAAATAAATAAACCTGACGTGCTCCCAGAAACTTGATAAGAATTTCACTGCGAACTGTACAATCGCCGAGTCGAGAGGTGGAAAAGTCACTCTTTTAAATACCCCTCTCAATTCGCCTCTAGTTAAATCTCAATCGTTAACAACCAAAAATTTAAAAATGTTAATATCATGATCCAATTTCTTATATAGAAGAAATCTACTGAAATTAATTGTTGTCATTTTATATATATATATATATATATATATATATATATATATATATATATATATATATATATATATGATGTCGAGTGATTGCAAACCATAATGCTCCCAACTGGTTTTTGAATAGAACAAATGAATATATTGTTTATTATATAAGTTTCCGGCAGTCATTTTCTATAGGATTTGATTTATAAAATCAACTTTTTTATATTATTTTATTGAGTATTAATACAGTCTGCCACGCTGAAGAGAAATATAATTAAATAAGCAAGACTTCTATCCATCGAGAATAATTGAAATGAACAAGTTTATATAATGTCTTCAAAATCAAACATACATGATATTCGCTTCCCGGATATTGTAGTTGTGTAAGAAGAAGTGGAAACTAAAAACAAAAAGAGGTGGAGGGTGACGGATCGAATTTGGAGAGAGTTCCATAAAGTGGGAAAACAGGAGAATATAGTTTCAGGACGGAAGACATTAGCAAAGAGTAAAAAAAAAAAAGAAGATGGGATGAAATTGAATTTTATACAGTGTGTCTTAGTGTTTAATGACCGAATTGTGGGGGTGATTTTCGACAAAATTTCGAACGAGAAAGGAGTTAAGACCAATATTTTGTTTTTCTTAAGAAGGTTTTTATCGAATAAGAAGTAATTGCTGAAAAAATTATTTAACATAATTAAATTCTAAACACACCATCGTAAAGTAGACAAACTTTTCTTTGAGTGTGATTAAATTTACCAAGGTCAATGATAAAAGGGACTTCCAGGAGATTAGATACGGCCGCTGTACTGTACCCATAACCGAGCAGCATATCTCTGTAATCCCTGCGTTAGCAATTTGGTTGTTTACCCATTTCTAAACTATATATACAAGTTAAAAAAATAAAAACTTTTCTCACATTTTTCGCAATGGATTTCTCGTTTCGATCCTCAAATTATTGGCCTAATATTCTTTAAATTAGCTGCCATTTTTAAAAGCAGCGGCTCAAGGACGGCAGACAAGGTTACAAGTTTTTTTTACTCAGAATAGCATACACTTCGTAATTTACAATCAATCCTTCGCCTACAATCAGGTCGATTTTTGGGCCCTGGCTCCAGACTATGTACGCATCTCAAACTGAAAGAATTATATATTTTTTCACATGTGTAGAAACTTTTTTAACGTTTCTACCCAAGTCCAAGTAGTGACAGATTTAGGAGAGTTTGAATAATTATTATCTGAAAAAGAGCGTGATCCAATGGGGATGGGTTGAAGATATTAGATGTATAATTTTTCCATTACAGTTTCTCATGAAGGAGGGAGAGATAACTTGGAGGCATAAATAGTTTTCTCTATATTAGAATCAAATTTCTATTCTATGAATGGATAAAAATGTCAGCCGTGGAGGAGAGGGGGGTGTATTAGTCTACTGGCACAGGATTTTTAGTCTACTTTTTATTTATTCAAAAGTACAAATGTATTAAAACTAAAAAAAATCAAGTAAATTTTTTTCTGTATTTTTTAAGGTTTAGTATAGTCGTATGTTTCAATAAATGAAAAGTTATTTGAGTATCATTGCGAAGATGCAAATATTTCCAATATCAATTCAAAGATCAAGCTCCAATTTTAGGTATCTTCCCATTAATCTAGTGACAATTTTAGGTATCTTCCCATTAATCTAGTGACAATTTTAGGTATCTTCCCATTAATCTAGTGACACTTTTAGGTATCTTTCCATTAATCTAGTAATAAACTAACTAAAAAAAGTCTTAACTCACTGTTTCATCGTGTTCGTCGGAATCACAAGCGAGTCTGAACTTGAGGACATTCTGTGGCACAGGGTTGTCCACGAGGTTCTCCAAGCTCTGGGACAGCCTCAGCGAAACGTGAGTGCTGTTCAATGGCCGAATCTTGAAGAAGTGTGCATCCTCTTTCTGGAAGGTCAAACATTAATTCTATTGGATTGTTCGAAAATTTTGAAATATTTCTTATAAAATATAATATGATTTGTTTTCAGAAATTACTAACGTAACAAAAACATAAAATCTTCATTCCTTCTATCGTTATGAATAACAAGTGAACAGTTTGTAAATTATAAGTATAAATTCATGAAATATTTTCGATTAATTCAAATAAGATACATTCCGTTTTATTAGATAACTAAAACCAGTCTATCATCTTATAAAAAAAAAAAAAAAAAGCATTTTCATTTTTTATTTCAACTCATTCTGTTATTTACAATTTCTTTTTATGATTCATTTAGTCCATATAATGAAAAAAAAATCTCATTTTATTATAAAATCAAAATCGTTTACAAACTATTGTATTGGAAACAAACCACGACCATTGATTACCTCAGGGTTTATACCTCTAAGCAAAAACAAACAAACTAAAATCAGATTTACAAAAAAATTAAAAATTTATTATATTAATGTTCATTGATAAAAATTACTTATATTAGATATATGGTCTCATGAATAAAATAAATGTTTTTTTTTTATTTGCTAACGAGGCAAATCGTGAAAGACTAATTGAAAATTGGCTGTTTAAGTTAAGCATAAAAATAAAAATTTTGTTTAAGACCCGGTTAGTTTATACTCGATTGATTTTTGTTTTTCTTCACGTGACGTGCATATTCAGCGTGAAAGATGCTTCTGTTATACGCTATTTGCTCAAGAGTCAGGGGATCCAACAATTTGTTTCTCAACGGCTTAGAGAAATGGAAAAACAAAAAAACTTATCCAGAGGCTCGTAAAAAACACTTAAAAACCGTTCTCTTTGAATCATAGTTATGATTATCATGATTCAAAAACTTATGCTATAATAACAATAAGGGCCTATTCAATTGAAATAAAAAATGGGATACTGGAGAGCATCTATATAAATATATCTAATCGCTAATCTGTTTGATTAGTCGATGAAGTCTAAAAACTCGATAGGTAAGAGAAGACCAGCAGAGCGGAAAAAATCACTGACCGCAAAAAGACTATTTGCCAGTGATCCTTTTCAATCACCGACAACTTGATCACTTCGTTGCGGGCAGGAGAAAACGGAGCATGCATTCGCCTAGGCATTTTCCTATTCAGTACTCATTTAGGCTAATTCTCATATCAGGAAATTTCTATAACATTTTCAGCTTATTAATTTGAAAAAAAAAGACATATTTAAGATCCGTGGAGAGTGTAACTGGTGATCAGTGCCTATGTCTGTAATAACCGACGCGAGATGAAACTGCTAGATATCGTCGAAGCGTGAAGACTACCTACCAATCGATGGCAAACCGAAAGCCCTCCGGCACAAGAAGTCGATGGCATATTGACCTCTAACGGGGCTTATCCGAACATTACGAAATCTTCGCTGAGTGGATACTCAGTTACTATTACATTTACTGACAACATCCTGAGGAAGACGGATCATAGCTAATGCAATGAGCTTCAAGGAAAAAAAGGTTTAAATTTTGCAATAGCATTTATAATAGTTTCACTTCTGACTGAATTGATAGCAGGCATATTTAATTGGAAATTAGTAATTTTTATTAAGTTCTTGATTATCTCAAATTTATTTATCAATTATTTCCAGATTGTGGAGAAAGTTATTTATTTTTATTATTTTTTTTTTGCTCTTTTAATAAATAAACATTTGTTTTTTTTATTTATCACGCCAATTTTTTTTTTTCAGTTTAGGCAAGGATATACAACGAAAGACCTAAGCAGAAGAAATTTTAGTCAACTTTAAGAAACGGCGATCTCTTTTTGAAAGTAATACAATTCGGTGTTATTTATTTTTATTTATTAGAAGAAAAAAAAAAAGGATCAGAAATTAAACTTCCATCATACACATAGTCCAGAAAAAAAAATGTTGTACCAGCCTTGATTGTTAGATTTTTTCAGGAACTTCTTTTGAAAAAAAGAACGGCTAGTTAGCTGACGTTTGTTTGAAAAAAAAAAAACTAGTACTGTAAAATAATTTTTTTTTATCAGATATTATTTGTTATTGTCAGATGGAAATTGTAATTTTTTTTATTCAAGAATAACAATGGATCTCTGGTTCAAAATTTATTATATTTTATTTAAAGTCTAGATTCAGGATAAGAGTTTAACTTTTATCTGTTTAAGTTCTTAAAAATATTACCTTAAATATGAAATAAACAGTAATTAGGGCTTAAATTATAATTATAATTTACGTTAAATGAATTATTTGATTCTAATGTGATGTTTGCTTAAGAAAAATATTCTTTAAGACTACATATAGATATAATTGGGAATGAAATGGCTGACAGAGCAGAGACAAAAGAAGCTCAGGACGTGGTATTGCCTTCAAAACTACGTCCAACGTGAGCAAACACTAAAAAAGTCCATATACCAAGATTGGCAGACAGTGTGGGACAACAGCCGTCTAAATAAACGGAAGATATAAAGAGTAAAATAAAACCATGAAGCAGCTCTAGTCGCAGTATGCGTAGAGAGGAAGTCGTCCTCAGGTGACTCAGAATATGACATACCAGGTTTACGCACCTTCACTTAATCACAAAAGAAAACATATTTTTGTCTCGTTTGTGGAATGTGTAGGGAGAGAATGACCCATATCGTTGATAGTTGCGCCTTTCAAACCAGAAAGTTGAATAAAAAAGGAATACCAGCAAGTACATCGACTGCTTTGAGAAATTGGGAAGAAATCTTGATTAAAGTCATATATTTTCTATGTGAATAAGGAATTTTTAAAAAAATCTTATTTTTTCTAAATTATTATTTTATTTATTTATTTATGTTTATGAATAACCAGCTGATGTAATAATAAATAAAAAATATATAAGAAGTTAAATAACGACGTTGATAACGTACAAGTTTTATGAATTGACTCCATAATAAAAACCAACCAAGACTACATAAATGATACTTTTTAGATTGATCTAGTGGCAAAATCAACAGACCTTATAAATTAAAATTTTGAAAAACCTTTACTTAAATTTTTTCAAAGCAAAAAGTTCTAGTTCCGAATCAACAAAAAATAAATTAAAAATAAGGATTCCAATCATACCGAAAATAATAGTTAAAATTTGATTTCAAATTCTATAATTTACCCTGACAAAGTTGAATTCACATTGAGATGTCGAGGTATGAATTACGATTGAAGTTCTTTTCCCAAAAGAGACAAATATGACTTACGTATGAACGAAACAAGGAAGATGAGAATGAACAATCCTGGATGCAAAACATGCCAAAGAATCATTAAAGAGGTCCTTAGCAGAGCTTTGTTTTCTTTTTAGATCGGATGTTTTCGTTTCCGATTTCACTGCGGCGCCTCCAAGAATGCCTAGACTATGACACCAGATCGGGGAGGACTTTCTTCGGCGAGGTGCTAAATGGTCTTCAGGAGCAGTTATCCCTCCAGGCGATGTATTCTTGTTCGTTAGCAGTGCCACTTTCCCTCAAGGAGCATGCGTTTTTTTTTCCTAATCTTTTTCTCCAGTGCTATCTGAATGGTAGGACTGCCATTCTTGCAATAGTGAAGGTGAGAGGGTCTTGCGCAACATACATAACAAAAGATTTCCAATAGAGACCGGAAGAACTCGGGACTGTCGACAGCTGTCAATCCGACTCTGAAGAATACTTTTCTAAACTGAGGATGACATTAAACATAGATTACAGTATTCGTAACGATTATGTTGAAAACAAAATAAATAAAACAGATGATACAAACTAGTAATGGCTATTCAATTATTATTAGTTGGTCCGTACGAATAATTTGCATAGTATATCGGTGAATGAATAAATGACAGTTTAAAAGCAAAATATATAAATGCAAAGTATGGGAGAAGATAATTTTCATTCAACATAATTTGCCAATACATGAGTACAAATTGGCTGTATCGTTGGTCCGATTTTTGATAATCTTTTCGTTGTTTAAGTAACTTGGAAACCTTTTTGTTGGTGTAATCAACCATAAATTGTATACATTTTGAGTTATGCACAAATATAGTTTCTTTTTATTCATAACTTTTTTTCCTGATTATTTTTTTGGAAATTTATTTTTCACAACAGAAAAAGAATATTTTAAGCTTAATCATTAGGCAAATGATTAAGGAACATATGAGTACCAACAGAAAAAAAAATCTACAAAAATAGTGCGATGCCTTAAACTTTTTCAATGACTTGAGAAACCCCGGAAGCTTATGTAAAATTAGGATCTTTGACGTTCCTACTGACAAAAAAACTATTATTCTGGCAGATTTGAAATAAGTTCATTATGAATTTGTTTGTTTCGATCCATTTCTGACTTAGGACTCGTTTAGGAATTTTTAATTTTGCCTTACCAGCCCCCAAGCTTTGATTAACAAGAATATAACTATGGGGAAATAAATCAAATGATTTGAAATGATACAAAGGAAAAAAAAGGATTAGGATATTGTACATGATACTTGCGAATAAAGAGTTTAGTGAATTTAGTGTTGTATGTTTTAAACCTTCTTTTAAATTAAATACCACTTAATTTAAATTAAAAGCATCTTTTAAAGTATGTGCATTTATTTCTGACGAAATTGGTCTTAAAAGCAAAAGCAAAAACACAGTACTACATTTTACTTTGAGAAAATATTGCTTTAAATAAATTCAAGTAAATAAATATACATGATATTGAAATTTATTTACTTGAATTTATTTAATGCTATATCAAAGTAAATCATAATAATATTTCTTTATTTTTGCTTTAAAGACCAATTTCGTCAGAAATACATGCTGTAATCATGCAATGATTGGTTAACGATTTTAAAATCCGGCCCGGAGGACCAAAAATAGGAGATAAAGATTAACTTCACTTCCCTTAGCACAAATATCAATTAACTGTCTATCAATTATGCTTAAACAATATGGACTTCAGCATAAAGATAGAAAAAAGGAGGTTAGAAAACTGCAAACTCTATTGATAACAACTTAAAAGTCCTATAAGTATTATAAATATTAGGACTTAGAAAAAAAAATAACAGCTGATATTAATCACTTTGACAACAATAAGCAAATATACTATAAAGTATATTATAATCAAATAAATATTATTAGATGATGATCACAAATATTTTTAGTTTAAAAGAAAGTTGTATGAATTATATATAATGTTAACCAGATATTTAAAAATTATATTGTAAAAAAAAAGATTTTTGGAAACAAAACATTGAAACTATAATGATAAAATGATACAGTTATTTCTAAAACTATCCTTTAGAAAAAAAAAAACTTGAAATATGGAATCACCGAGAACGGGAAGCAATAAAAATCAATAAAAAAAAACGAGTTTTAGTTATTTCTCTTAAAACTAAAAAAATGTGGTGGGTGGTTTTTGGATTTATCGTCTAGTTTTGTTATAAATAAAAGAATTCAAATTAACATCTCGTTTCGTATTCCTTTCATGGTCATTTTGGCCCGTAAGTTTTTTTATGTGAAGAAATTTTATATTTAATTGAAATAACATATATTTTTTAGATAGATGCCATCTAAATCCTTCTGATAATTATTTACGAAACAATAAATGCTATAACTGTATAAACAATAACTGCTTATGCATCATTAAAGCCTAAATTGATGGAGGGGGATTTGGTTGTCATGTCTTGGATTCAATTATTACAACTCAACAATAATATCACTAGTCCAAAGGAAATGTCACGAGATTTTAAGTTTTCTTACATTTCCAAAAAAAAAAAAAATAAAATAATAATTAAGCACTACAAAAACGTGAGATTCGAGTTCGCCTCAAGAAAACAGACCTATGACTGCAATGATTTATTTTCTATGCAATGATATGAGGATAAGTTCAACTATTTGTCATTTTCCTTGGTTCGATTTGATTATTAATTGAATTCTTCAAAGTGTTTTTTAACTAATAAAAGCAATAAGGTCTTGCTGTATATGCCATATCCTGATAAATCATGACAATTCACCACAATATCCATTTCATCTATCATGAGAAATTTAATAGTGAAAGTCAAGAGCCATTAGTATGGAGTGACAAGGTTCAAACAAGCGGAACAAATTCTAGAAAACGAGTGGGAAACAGGTGCTTACTAGAAGGCGAAAACTGTTTGTAGAGTGTGTTTACCGTCCTGAAGCAGGAATGTGGGAAAACCCCCGAAACGGTAGACTGAAAGGGGCAAAACAGAACCTGATGCTCCGAAGGAAGTGGGTTTACTCTGCTAAGTGGAGGCAAACATATTTAGCATGAGGGACCCCTAGTAGAATTCAATGCCGGCTCTCTCTCTCTCTCTCTTAGAGCTCGCGGAATTCCTGCCCCCGGGCATCTCGTTAATAACCTCACTACATTATCA